AAAAAATAATCTAAGTCGTTATTTTCAACAGTTGCAGAATAATTAACACATATCATTTCAAAAATCCCACTCTGTATATTTTTTTACATCAATAATGATCCTTCTAAATAACAAATGTCATTTATATCGTATGTGATTTACTGTTGCTAACGATATTAATTTTTGCCACAAAATCGGGCGCAAATTCTTGTGAACTCGCTTGGTCTTGCGGCGCAGAACTATTCACGAAGAAGTTCTTTAACAAAGGAGAATAAAAGAGGAAAGAAATCGCGTAGTCGGTCTTCTTCGCTAGAATCTACTTGGAGATTGCACGTTTATCGTAGAGCGATGAAATGTCACTCCAGCGCGCGTTGTTTAAAGTAGCATGCCACACACGAAATTTTACATAACGCGATTCATGGCGAGAGCGACGAGAATTTTAAACCCTCTCCCTTTAATCTGTCAATCATGTTTACGAGATTAAATCTTTCGTGTAAAATTCATCGCGTGTTCTCTGTTTGCTAATCCACTCTGTCTCTCTGGCGAGTGCTGCCTCTTCATAACGAGCCGAATAATGCAATAAAGAATTCTTTATTAATAAATCCTATTCGCACTGACGTTTTAGATTCTTTTTTTGCAACGAAAAGAAGTGGCAATATGCTACGGTGGACGTGTATTTTTGTCCGCAGTAAAATCTCGCCAATATTTGCGAGACGTTTCTCATTTTTGCGTAAATCGCGCCGAAATAGAAAATTATGAATTTGCAGGAATTCCAAAACGTAATATGACAATTATTTCTGAAGAAATCGCCCTTTGCGTAACCACAGAAAGGGAAAAGTGTAAGAGGAATACTTGATTTTCTTATACGTGAAAGTCTCTAGTTGCCACTTTCGCTTCCCTCAAGTAGTAAGAACTCTCGTATGGTCGGACGTGCGAGCAACAGTTTCGGTGAGAAAACACATTTCACTTATACATTGCGTTTCAATGATTGTGAAAAAAATTACCCCATCTCACATACGTCATTAATAACTCAAAAACCACATAAAGCGGCATGAAAATGTCAGAAAAGAAATATTTTCGTTTGTCTCGGGGAGGAACAGCGTTTGCCAAAAACTCAAACGCGTGTCACGCGATTATGAGTTAGTTATCACGAGGAAGAAGCGTAACCAAGACGAGCTTTCCAACGCAGACTGATGACGAGCCTGAATTAATATTGTCAGATGCAAAATGACTATTTCCGGAACATTTTTTAGGCGATGGTTGAAAAATAGATTGTTAGAGAATTTTAGTTAAATTTGAGAGACAGAGAAGTAAGATGATTAAGAAATATCGCCGTGTTCTTGTAATAATTAAATGCGTGAATTAAGTACCAGCAGAGAAAAGTTTAAATATAAACCGCGCGATTTAACTTTTTTTACTTCCTTTTTTTTTTACTACACAAATGGCTTACTTGACATCAATTTTCTCAAGTGGCACGCCAAATTTTTGACTGTATTAACCCATTAACGCCGAAAAGTCTAAAATCTTTTGTTCATTTTCAAGCTTTATGCTTACTAAGTAAAACGTGAGCGATTTATATGTAACTTTATTTCCTAGTGTTTTTGGGCGTGCTCTTTCGAATGGCGACGCCAAAATTGAGCTATCTCTGCTAGAAAAATAAATATGGCGGTTTAAATAAAAAAAAACACAGAAAATACAAGACTTTTTTTAACAATTTTTTTTCACATCGAAATAGTATAGGTAACTGAAGACCGAGTGTACCAAAGAGAGACAAAATAGTTGTATTTTGAAAATCCAACCCACAAAATTGTTATATACAACATGGCGGCATTAAAAATGGCGGCTGAAGCGAGAAAACCTAATATTTTGCCTTTTTCATAGAAATTGGATAAGATTCGACTGATAAATATTGTTTTTCACCCCAAAATAGTAAATTAAGTAGTCCTATTTTAGATTTACGAAAATATGGAGTTTTCAAAATGTCGGATTTAATATGGCGGTTAAAAAATTGAAAAAAATCATAAACATTTTAATATTTATGAATTTTTTGTATTTCTACTGGAAAATTTTTATGATGAAAATACAAAAAGAACAAATAGAAAAATAAAAATAAGCCAAACAATATTTTCGTCCCTTAACCAAGGTTTGATGTTGCTCAACTCTTACCACGTGGAGGTAGACGAAAAAAAGGGTTCTGTTTTTTTAATTTTTTTGTTTGGTTTTATATTTTTTATATTTCCTATTTTTTATTTTTTTACTCATTGTTTTTTTATTTTATCTTTTTTTAGTTTTATTTTTTTCAGTTTTGTTTAGACTTATAAAATTTTAGACTTATAAAATTAAATATTTACTTCAATTTTTTGTATTTGTTCTGTAAATTTTAAGTTTTATAAAAATTTTATGGCATGGAATGTCTTTTGGTAAAACATGATTTACAAACTCATAAACTGCAATCATTGCAAAAATTATATATTTTTAAAATGCATGTTCCCGTATACTTCCTTTTCAGATTAAAACCAGAGATCTCCTATGACTATTTGACCATTTTTCAACAGCTCATGGTACAACATACCCTTTTGATCCCACCAAATACAGAGCATTGCCTTCTTTCCATGGATATTCCGCTTTGGCGTCGATGTTGACGGGATCGCAAATAGTTTTTCGACGTTTGGAGTTGTCAAAATAAATCCATTTTTCATTCCCAATGATGATACGATGTATTGTAATATAAAATAAAAACCCCTTTCTTTGTTGCCTAGCAAGCAGAATTTCGCAGGTGGTTTTTCGCCTTTATCTGTCTGTTTTCGCCTGTCTCTTGGCTTCAGTTCATATGGGACCCATTTTCTTTCCTTGTAAACCTTTCCTAAGGCTTTCAAACGATCGGAAGTGACAGATTGAGCACAATTTAATGCTTCTGCAAGTTGCTTTTGCGTTTGACATGGGTCTTCGTCCACCAATGTCTGCAATTCTTCGTCTTTGAATATTCTTGGTTGTCCAGAACGCTCTTTGTCCTCTACATCAATCACCACTTTTAACCTCTTCCGTGGCACGGACGCACCGGTGCGTCCAGATCATGTTCGTGTTGTATTGAATTTTAAGTGTAATAACTATTGTTGTAGAATTTTTATCAAGTATTTTTTGGGTCGCTGATTACGAATTTCAACTTAGTTTTTATAATTTGTTAATAAAAAAAAACTATAATCAAATTAAAATGTCGGAAAATTGTAAATTTTTTTTTCACACACGGGATGTGTGAGAGTGAGAAAGGGTGAGAGGGAGAAACTGAGAAGAGACTGCGGCGTCCGATGGAGGAATCGGCGTCGTTAGAACAGAGCAGCGGCGTCATTAAAAAATGAATTTCGCGCGACGTTCGGCGTCGTTTGACCGCAGCGCCTAAAGGAATCCGAGTGTTCGGTAGTACCAAAAAACAGAGGATGTACGACGAAGAGCGAGCAGCGAACAAATTAGTTCGCAGCGAGCAGCAAGAGCGTTAAAAGCGATTTTATATAAAAATCGTTAATTTAGTGACTTGAGAAATGACCAATTACTTTTATTTATAATATTAAGCATTTCTAAACATTTTAGTCGCCATATTCAATCCGCCATTTTGAATTTCTATATTTTGACCTTAAATTCGACTTCAACGACCAAAAAACTGAAGTATACAAATTATTGAAAAAATCCGCCCCGTCATCTTTTTGGGGCGGTTTCAATGCATTTTACTGAATTTTGCTCTGCCACGGAAGGGCAAGCAAGGGTTCAAGCATTCGATGAGCTTCAGCTGTAGTTTCCTTCCTTGAATTGAAGCAAAAGATTAACACTTCGCGCAAATGACACTTATTCGGCTCAAGTTTCAACATTTTCGATGCAGTAAAAAACAATGTTACTAATGTAAACGTATACCTTTATGTGCTGAATGTTATTGACAGATGTCGAAACAAACTATTAAGCTTCGTTTAAACATTAGAGGTTAACGACAGTTCTAGCTATAGCTTACTTGCCGCCAGATGGACGGAACTTTTCGATTTATCTAATAGCAATCCTGAATATTTGGCGCGCTGTACAATCGACACTCTGCGAGTTTCTCCGTTCGCAGCGGTGCGCCTAACGTCAACGTCAAACAAAGCGCCGGGATACCTGCGTGAGACGCCTCATCCGACGGGTCCGTCGTAAGATCGATACGTGTATACGGATTACCTAATGGAATAGCGTGGCAAAGGAGCTTCAATCTCATATTGCAGTCTAACGCGCAAACATTGACCTTGTCCCGCTCCAGCATCGGCTGCTGCTGCTTCGGGGTTGCAGTTGCGCGCGAAGGCTGGCGGTCGGGCCGCAACGTGGACGTTTGATTTTCCCGTGGAAATGGTCGAATCGAAACGCGGCAATCGAAATTCCGAGTAATCACCTTTGTAGCGATGAAAACTCGACGCCGGAACCCATTCGAAAGCCATTCGCGAGCGGACGGATAAATAAACACGCGTAATCCGCCAGATAAACTCGAATGATTTTTTCAGCCGCGCTCCGCGCAAGTTATTTCGCGAATAATTCGATGTCGCGCGTAACGTCGCTTCGTAACCCGCACCCGGCTCGTTTGTTTCAGTTAGCTCGCTGCGGGATCGACTCGCTGTAAATCTTTATTTCGGAATTACGATATTGAGAGTGTCGACGAGGAACGTCGTTGCGTCTCTCTCCCTCTCTCTGTCTCTCTCTCTCTCTCTCTCTCTCTCTCGCGCGCGCCCGCGCGCGCACGCGCGCGTGCAAACCGGCGACATGCGGATTTATGACATTTTTCTACGCCGCCGCTTGCGCGCGTAATTATTAATTTCCGTCTCGTAATTCGAGCTCGGCCGCTTCGACGAGCAGTAATCGAGACACGCGATACAAAATACGAGTCTCGTCGTCGCGACACGAAGCTCCGTCTCATCGCGTCATCGCCGGCCCAAACGTTCACTCCGCCTCAGATGCTCGCGTAGCTCCTCGAAGGAGGAAGGCCGACTCGTCGGCGAAGCGAAAGAGAGACAGACCGTCGACGTGGAGCTGCACTCCGGTATACTCGGAGCGGCGTATCTAGTGGCGGTGCGCGCAGGTGGAAGAAGGTCGGAAGGTTACGAGAGCGCAGACGCCGACTGAAAGCATCGAGGATAGCACCCGGCGCGATACCGAAGTACCGGACAGAGCTAGCTCGCCCGCATTGCCGTATTCGTCTGCCAGCGTGTCAGGTCAGCAACAGCCAGCGGGGAGGACGGCGTACTCGTCGGCGGGTGTCCAGCGTCGTCGAGCAGCGTAATCTCGCGGGTTTTCCGATTTCGCGAGTACACCGCTTGGCCGCGGCGAGCGAGATCAGATCGGCGAGCCGTCGGCACATCGGCGATTTGGAAAAGCGTTGCCGTCGCTTTCCCGCGCTCAGCACGCGCACCAACTCCGAACTCACCGTCGACCTTGTGTGACCTGCTCGACCACGTAAGTAATAATCGTCGGGGATCGCGACGAGTCTTGCCGTCGCGAGACGCCGTGCCGAGAGTTTGGCGAACTTTCGAAACGCGGCTGTGCCAGCGCGTAAATGCAGTCGCGAATGCACGCGAACTTCCGGGGTAATTGAAGTGCGCGCGATTGTGCATAATTATGAATGAAGTTTCCGCGGACTGGACGAGAAAGAGAGAGAGAGAGAGAGAGAGAGAGAGAGGGAGAGTAGCGAGAGCGGAAAATCCGCGCTCCCAGTGTGTGAAATATTAAATTCTATGCAAATATCGATCGCGCGGAGATACGAAATGAGTATGTGCGCGCCGAGAGATTGATTAGCTCCTCCTCGCATCGGCGGAGTCGCCCGCGGCATCTTCGTTTCAAATTCAGAAATTCATGCGCGAGTTCTTGCACCGGCGAGTGTGTTTTATTGCCCGTTATCGCGGCTACCGGAAATCGCAGAGCGAAGCCCCCGTTTGTTAATTAACCGCGCGCGCGCGCGCGCGCGTTTACCGCAAGCCGTGATTCACCGCGCGCCGTAATTCGGTCCGCTTCGGCGGCCCTCGTTGGCCGGTTTCCTTCGCGACTGACCGAGCATCCGAGGGCTTTTAATCGCCAGCGAGCGTTATTCTCCGCAGCCGCGAACGCGAACGAGCAGCGAGTTCTCCGCTGCTAAAGGGGGTAAACGGCGACGGGAAAGCCGTTTCATCGTCATAATCCGCGAACTTCGTGAAATCGGGGATAAAATTTGCAGAGAGCGAGTTAATTTTCATCAGTCGTTAATACAATTATCTCGCATGTTGCAGCGGGGACTAATTACGGCACGGGCGAAGCATTTTCGTCATAGCATCGCTCGCCGCAATGCTGCCTCTGATCGTCCCACACAAATATTCTAGGCCACGCCACCCCCTGCGTTGAACACAGCTTCCTACTTCGCGCAAATGCCTGAACCGTGCAAAACACACGCCCGCACACTCGCGGTTTACCAACCCACACACATACACACAAACAAACAAACATATATACGTATATACGCAGCTGTAAATTGTTCATAAAAAATGATAACCTGCCGATATCTGCCGGTGACTGAACAAACATGTTTCGCGAATGTCATCGCCGATGCTCTGCGACTGGACGTCATGGACGTCAACGCGGAATTTGGAAAATTCACACTGGCGTAATTAATTGATCGCGTACAAAGGGCGGACGTGTCAAATTTTTAGTCTGATATGCAAATATCTGACACACGTAGCTCGACGTGCTTTCGCGCCAATCGTGCGACATACTCGCAAATGAAAAAAAAAAAAAAAGGAAGAATGTGAGCCTTTGGACTTTTACGTTGGCTCTCGGACGTCCGTTTAATTTCGCCAATTGCGACAAAATTCCGAAACTTCGCCCAATAATCCGCGATCGTTCTACGATATTCACGCTCGCCCCGTAGAACGAGCAGGATCTTCCGAGGGATTCAGTAAATCGAGATGTCTAATAGGAGAAAAGAGATGGAAATTTTCTCTCGCGATTGTCCTGCAGGGAGACGGCGCAGCGCGGCGGAAGGAATCCTTTCGTTCTATAATCGCCGCTGACGACTTGTGAAAGTGACGTAGCTTTTCGCAGCAAGTGTTTCTTAACGCAGTCTCTCGCGCTAAAAATAAGTCACCGTCATGGCGAAGTAATTCTCGTTACGAGACTTCACCTCCGCGCTTCCGGAGAGTCCCGCCGGGAAATAGCGGCCGCCTTTATCTTCAGCGAGAGTCGAACGACATGAGCGATGTATCTTCGCTCTCGCCGCTTTATTTTTCTCTTCTTCGCACGCGCTACTTTTGCCTCGCAAGCGCCGTCCGCTCCTTCGCGTCGTGTCCGCTCTCTTGTTGCTCCTCCGAAATCGATCGTCGCCGGCGCTGTTCCTCGTCGCTCGGGGTCGCTGGACCGAAATTTCAGGCTACGCTCGTACGCCCTCGGGAGCCACCTCTGACGCGCCGCTTTCCCGGCCCGCAGAGAGAATACGCGATGTTTTCGTCGGCTAAAAAGCGTCGGAAGAAAAGACCAGCTCGTGCGTCGCGCTGCCCTTCACCGAGGTCCTTTAAAAAAACAGCCCACGCAGCTTCAGCACGTTCGTGGCGCACATCGCGAGTCTCGTCAAAGATTGGCTAGTTGACAGAACGTAGGCTGGATTCCACTGGGAAGAGGTCGGCCCTTAAATTACACCCCGGGAAGCAATCTGCTATCCTAGACTCCGCGATCGCTCGGAATGATATCGGACTTGGTCGTGCTGCGACTGTTTGGCAGATTCCCGAGTGCAAAGTGCGCTCGCTCGTTCGCTTCTCCATGCTAATCCCAGCCGGCTTAATGGACTAATATCAAGTTTCATCTAAACTTTAAGCGAGAATCATGTGTCCACGCGGAGTCGTGCCGCGAGAGGCGTGAGCGGGCGCGCGAGAGCTGTTTCGGTAGAAAGTTCTCGAATAATCTCGAATAACTGTGCTCGCGCGCTCGCGGAACTTGGAATGACTTTTTCAACGTAGTTTGTTCAGCGGCCTAATGGCCAAGCGATGACGTTCAATTCGATTCGCCCGGCCGCGAGGGCGGTTTCCTTCTCGGAGCTCGCCGAATGGAACTCGGCGGTCGTTTCGTTAATTGACCGGCACTTTAACAGTCGCGATTGAGTGTACGTCTCGTGGAAAAAAAAAAAACACCGTTAACCCTTAAACCTCCCACCCATGTGACTTTGTTTTAATCCTATAATAATATAATAATAATCTTACATAATAATAATATATAATAATATAATATATATATAATAATATAATAAAATATATAATAATAATAAATCTAACAATAATATAATAATAATCTTATAATAATATTAAGAAAACATTTGTAACCGTCGCAAAAAATAATTTTTCTCTGCTCCCCATATAATAATAATAAATCACCAATAATCGATAAAAATGATCAATAATAATAAAACATTTAATTGCATTTGTTGGACTTTTTTTGATTTCCAAGATAAAAAGTATGTACCGGCGTGAAATTTCTGTCGCACGATGACATCGACGTGATTTTCTTCGACGACGACTCTTAGGGGTTAAACGGAGAAATTGAAAAGTGTGTTCTGTGTGTTTCGACGCGCTCACTCGTGCGCCTCAATCCTCGACGCTGCTCGACGCAAGTGTACTGATTGGTCATCTCTGTGATTCTGGTCGTTCTCGTTGCTTCAAGTCGCGGTCACTTTTAAACGTCGTGCTTTATCGCGAGTCTCCTTCATATATCCACTCTTCGTAATTACTTCGAGGTGTCCGTTGCCGTTTCTGTCGGAGGATTTTCGTGCGGGGCGACTCGCATCTCCGCTCCAACGGCGCTTCCTTATAGCTCCGAAAAAGTCACCCTCTTGAAAGTTACTTCACGTAACGGCCGCCTACAGCCCGCGTGACTCTTGGCGTATTAGAGCCGCCGAGCTGCGTCCTGTCGCGAGGCGCTGCCGCTTTTTCCTTCTCCGTGGACGGAATAAACGGCTGCGGACGCCACAGTTGGCCTTTCCAGCAAATGTCACTTGAAGTTAGTAATTAGCAATTATTCGCGCGAACGGTAAGAGAGCTTCACGCCGTTTGATCTCCCGGCCGCTTGGCTGAGCAATTTCGACGAATTGCGGCACGTTTATTTGGCAAAACAATATGGATCTAAATTAGACAAGGGCAAGAATAAGAAGCGCTTTCTTCCACGAGGAAGAAGCGCACATGTGGTCCGGTTTCGGTGAATTACTTCGGTGAATTACTTCGTATTTGCCTCCTCTCCTCCCTCTTTTCTCTGGATTTTCTCGTGCCACGTGTCCGTTTTTGCAATTCTGCGGTCTCCGCTTCGTTGCGCGTACTCGAGTAATCAACTTTGAGAAAAAAGGTTTTCGAGCGAACTATCTCCGCGATTCTCTTTGCTTGGTAGCACTCGATGTAGCACTCGATAGCTTCTTCAGGCAAACGGGAAATTGAATTCATCATCGATACTTTGTGAAAGCAAAAAAAAATCGGAAAACGAATTATCCAGCGAAAGTAAAAAAATCGAAATTAAGCGCATATACAGAGAACTTTCCGGGAACTTTCGGAAACGAAAAATTATGAAAATTAATCACATCAAACTGAGAAGAAAAGTCAAGTAGACACTATTTTGCGAATATCGCAATAGTTGTTAAGTTATTAATGGTTGAAAATGATCATGGCTATGATAGAAGCTCTTTTAATTATAACTTTTAATGATAATTTGAAAATTTGCGTACTCTTTTGCAAAATGGTTAATCTACAATTATATGACGGCTATTGTGCCTAGCGATAGGTTCAAAAGATTCAGACTTCCAAGTTCAATACTATACTCATATCTAACGCTACACACAATAACCATATTATATACACAAATAGTCATATTACTGTAGATTAGACTATTTTTCAAATAAGTATGCATATTTTCAAGTTATCAGTTAAAAAAGTTCCTCGACATGATCATTTTCAATTATTAATAACTTAATAGCTATTGCGATATTTGCAAAACGTACTTAACTGTTCTTCTCAGTTTGATCTGATTAATCTTTACAATTTTTCGTTCCCCCTCCCCCCTCCAAAAGATCTTAGGCATCCTGTATATATATAGATTGTTTAAATAAAAGGGTTCAGAACTTTAAGGACAGTTTCACAAAATGGAGGAAAAGAGTCCTAATAAACATGAATTGGAGAATTAATATTGTTAGAGCTCTGAACAATTAAACAATTAATAAATTAATCAATAATTAATTAATTATTATGAATAAATAATTATTTATTTGAATTGAAGTGATTTACTCGTTTTTTATGCTTACAAAGTTTACAGATTTCTACATGTCCTCCTCCTATTTCCACTTCACTTACCACTTTTCATCTTTGTACCATAGAATTGCGAGCTCTTTCAAAAATTCCCGGCTTTGTTCTTTAATATTTGACCGATGTATAATCCGTCTATGTCACATATCATCATGTTAT